CCCCCCCCGGTCCCCCGGTCCCCACTGAATGTGAGGCTAACAGTGAAGAACAATGCAATTAACCATATATGCGTAGTCTTATTATATACTACAATAATAATAATGCTGGTAATCTTAATGAGAACTGCATAGCAGCTGCTTTTTGGTGGATTGCATTCATAATATCTAGCAGTAGCCAATTAATTAAATTTTGCTGTTATCATTGAGAACTATAATATAAAGGAGAAAACCAATTTGTCTGCTTCAAGATAAAAGCTAATCCCTTTGTTGCCAGCACAACACCTGGAAAAGTCTCTAATCAAAATTCTATCTTAAGCATATTAAGTGCTTTATTTATTTATATTTATTTATTTACTTACTTTCAAATTGTAATAGTCAAAATGGAAGATAAATTGAAACTCCCAGTTAATGGAGAAATATTGAAGTTTATTTATTTATTTATTTATTTATTACTGCGCTTGTATACCGCCGTTTCTCAGCCTACATTGGCGACTCAACGCGATTTACAACATTACAATAATCAACAATGTTCAAGATAAAAAGCATAAAAAAAGCATAAAAACACATACATAATATACAATATTGGGCCACCAATATCGAACCAATGCATCTCTAAGTTAAAAACGCAGTCCAATTTCATCGTCTGTGATTACCAGTCCTTGATCGTCAGATTTGTTGCACCGTGTTAACCGAATGCTTGTTCGAACATCCATGTCTTCAGTCTTTTTCGAAACGCCACCAGCGAGGGGGCTGATCTTACCTCTATGGGGAGGGCATTCCAAAGCCGAGGGGCTACCACAGAAAAGGCCCTGTCTCTCGTCCCCGCCAGCCGCACCTGTGAAGCAGGCGGGATAGAGAGCAGGGCCTCCCCAGAAGATCTTAGGGTCCTGGTGGGCTGATAGGCCGAGATACGTTCGGATAGATAAGTTGGGCCAGAACCGTTTAGGGCTTTAAAGGCCAGCGCCAGCACTTTGAATTGGGCCATTATCTGTTCCATTATCTGGAGCAGAGTTTCCTTTTAACTAGAACTATTTCACCTTTCAGAGTTGATTTAATGTTTCCATTTTCTTATATGTACCCTTTGACAACCTGAATTTAAATCTTGATTGTTTATTAATACACTTTGACAGTATTTATTCAATTGAAAAGACAGACAATTTGATATAGAATTCAAACAGGTTAATTTTACTGATAAAGATTATAAGGACATACAGTTTTTCAAGCTAGGGTTTCGCAGAAGCTCCAGGAATATAGTTATTACTGTTTTAGATCACTGTGAAGATAATTCAGACTTGGAACAGCTCATATCCAGATTAGCCTTAGATGATATCACACTAGATGACAGTTTTTTGGGAACTGAGCACAGTAAGCCTTTTTTCAGATTGGATTCTAATCTCTATATTCATGAAGTTAAACAGATACCTGTGCTATTTGACTGAGTATAGATTGCAGTTCAGAAATGCTTTGAAAACATTGTTACCAACTATTTGATCATACACCGAAGATATGAACATTTCTGAACTAAGTGAGGGGAGCATACAAAATTAATTGTGTGGGATGCATTCTTAGTTTTATCAAATTACTTTCATCAGATGTCAGTGCACCTGATAACTCTCATGACATAGGGTTAGGTGTCTTGGGATTTCACAATCCCAAAATCATATGTAGGAAGGGAGTTATATATCAGCTCAGAGGCCATGGAACTACATTTTGCAGCATCTCAGGTAACTAGCTTCCTTCCTTCTCCTATGTATTTTTCCTCTTCATATGTGTTATTTTTTTCCAGATAGTCTGAATTTGAGAAAAGACTTGATTAATTGTGTTGTATTGATGCATTCCCCTCACTTTGTTTGTGTCTGGAGTGATTTGAGAAACTGCAGGTCACTTCTGGTGTGAGAGAATTGCCTGTCTATAAGGATGTTGCCCGGATGTTTGATGTTTTACCATCCTTGTGGGAGGCTTCTGTCATGTCCCCACACTGGATTGTCACCTTGTTGTGGAGGGTGGTCTTCTGTGCACCAGTAAACCTATGACCAAATGCAGTGGCAGTGTTAGTAGCAATGTCACAGGAGGGGAACCAGACAAAGAACGAGCTGAAGAAGTCCTCAACTATGGAGCAAGCAGATGATAACATGGCACATGCTACAATGGCTGTGAAGGTGGACGAAAGCTGAAACAGATAAGAGGCCAACTGTATCAACAACTGAGCAGCCCTATTGAGGATCTACTCTCTCACTCTATATGGGAAGATGGCTGGAAAAGGTGTCCTAATCAATGTCTGCCTCATTTACCCCTGACTGGACTGCAGCGTCCAGAGGGATCACCATCTTGCGGTCAAAAAAGATAAATTAATTTTGGAGTCTCCACCATCAACTCCACTGGATTGGCCATGTTGTCCAAATGCCCAATAATTGTCTCCCAAAGCAATTACTTTATTCTCAACTTAAGAATGAAAAATGGAATGTCAGTGGACAACACAAGAGATTTAAAAATGGGCTTAAAACTAACCCAAAATTGGCATAAGTATCAAAAACTGGGAAGCTCTGGCTCTTGAGTCTTCTGACTGGAGTTCAGCTGTTACCAGAGGTGGCCCTGGGGAATTTCAACAGTAAGCAAACAGTATTTTGGCACCCCCTTCCCCTTCCCTTCCCTTCCCTTCTTCCCCTTCCCTTCCCCTTCCTTCCCCTTCCCCTTCCCTTCCCCTCTCCCCTTCCTTCCTCCCTCCTTCCTTCCTTCCTTCCTTCCTTCCTTCCTTCCTTCCTTCCTTCCTTCCTTCCTTCCTTTCTGTCCATCACAGTCTCGAAGCCCGGAAGACCAAGAATGGGAAGAATGTGGTCCTTCTGATGAGGTCAAACCGCATCAGTCATAAACACCGAGAACAAAAAGGTTCTGCACTCCAAAAACATTTACAAATGTAAACATACAAACCAGATCCATCATGTCTATCTCAATCCTACCTTCTGCTGTCTGGGCATTGGGACAGCACCCAACTCCACTGTTGCATTGGTCCCGCAGAGAAGACACCAGTCCCTCCAATTCTTCAAGCCGGCTTATGAGGTCCTTGATATCAGGAGCTGCCGCACAGCCACACGCCTGTCGGGGGATGTTTATCCGATGCGTGAAGACTATCTGGTTATCCTCATTCAACGTATGCTCCTGATAGTGTTTGCTTGGCTCAGTCTGAGCTTTGAGTTCTGAGTCCCCACTTGATGGATCTAAGTCCACAGCGCACAGGGAGCCCACAGGGACATTAATGTTGTAGACGTGGTTGAAGACCACCGGCTGGTTGTCCTCGGGCAATGTGGCATTGATCCCTGTTTCCCGTTTCTGTCGAATGATTCTTTTGATGAGTCCACCCCTAACATTTTTTTTTTTTTTTTTTTTTTTTTTTTTTTTTTTTTCTTTTTTTTTTTTTTTTTTTTTTTTGACGTGGTTGAAGACCACCGGCTGGTTGTCCTCGGGCAATGTGGCATTGATCCCTGTTTCCCGTTTCTGTCGAATGATTCTTTTGATGAGTCCACCCCTAACATGTTGATTGAATAAAGATATGGCTACCAAGGCCAAAACCCAAGTTGGGAGGCCCATGTTGAGGTGCGGATCTGTCAATGATCCTCTTAAAACTTCGGCGTTGTCTTGTGTTCACAGTCCAAAAGAGAGAAGTTCTCTTGCTGTTCAGGTCTCTGTCCTCTTGAAGATCCTGCAACAGTTAAATTATATTGGGATTAGTTATTAACCTGAGCAACCAATATCATGACAGTGTGGTGACCTGCAAGAAGAAAATTGGATCAACCGTTAAAGTGGAATAGCGGTGCTACAATTGTGTAGTGTGGATGATCTTCCCCTTTGATGTTTAGAGAGTCATCATCAATGTCAGAGGGAGGATTTCTAATTCACAACTAAAACTCTTCTTTTGTTTATCTGATGCTTTCGAAACCCAGGGCATCCGATATTACATCTCTTTGGTTAAATAAGGAAGTCTTCTGGAAGTATTCAGTTAAAGCTGTTTCTGCTCTAGAGGAGAGGCACTGCAGACAGGCACACTCTCTCTTGCTCCTTAAAGGCATGCACACAGCTTTCCAAGGCATTTTAAGGAGGCCCAGGGAAGGAAACGCAATGACCTGGAGCTATCTACCCTGGGCTTCCTTAAAAAAACCCTCTTTTTAAATATATTGCAGGACACTTTTTTGCTTTGGGTTTAATGCTTCCTTAAAGCAGTTTCTACTTTCTACTCTAGAGGAGAGGCACTTTAGACAGGCACACACACTCTCTCTCCTTAAAGGCATGCACACACCTTTCCAAGGCATTTAAAGGAGGCCCAGGGAAGGAAACGCAATGACCTGGAGCTATCTACCCTGGGCTTCCTTAAAAAAACCCTCTTTTTAAATATATTGCAGGACACTTTTTTGCTTTGGGTTTAATGCTTCCTTAAAGCAGTTTCTACTTTCTACTCTAGAGGAGAGGCACTGCAGACAGGCACACACACTCTCTCTCCTTGCAGCATGCACAGAGCTTTCCAAGGCATATTAAGGAGGCCCAGGGAATGAAGTGTGATGATCTGGAGCTATCTACCCTGGGCTTCCTTTTAAAAAAACCCTCTTTTAAAATCTATTGCAGGATGCTTTCTGCTTTGGGTTTAATGTTTCCTTAAAGCACTTTATACTTTCTACTCTAGAGGAGAGGTACCGCAGACAGGCATGCACACAGCTTTCCAAGGCATTTTAAGGAGGCAAATGGAAGAAAGTGCAATGACCTGGAGCTTTCTACCCTGGGCTTCCTTAAAAAAGCCCTCTTTTAAAATCTATTGCAGGACGTTTTCTGCTTTAGGTTTAATGCTTCCTTAAAGTACTTTCTACTCTAGAGGAGAGGAAGCTAGGTGGTAGTTGTTTTCAGAGAACTGGGGTTTTATTTTTGTTTGCTGGAATTATTATTATTATTGTTATTATTATTATTATTTGAAACACAACAAGATGAGTCCACAGCAGACACTCTGCTGGCTTTTGTATTGGATCACATGTCAGAAACTTCCAAAGTGTCTAGGACTGTGTGATGTATCAGCGAAAAATGTGTGCAAATTCCAGTAAGGTGGCCTTTTACAGATGGCAGATGGTAATTTTGTCAGCGCCGATTGTGTTTAAGTGCAGGCCAAGGTCTTTAGGCACTGCACCCAGTGTGCCGATCACCACTGGGACAACCTTTACTGGTTTGTGCCAGAGTCTTTGCAGTTCGATCTTTAAATCCTCATATCGTGTCATTATTATTATTAATATTATTAATATTATTAATATTATTATTCTTTTAGAAGTATTTGAAAGAGAGGAAGGGAAGGAGAAAAAGAAGCGAAAAAGGTGACTCTCCATAAAGCCCCCATATGCCCGCGCATCCCACCCACCCGCCCTACATGTCCTCAACTCTCAGTCAGTCCCACTAAATAAAAAGAATCAAGAAAATAAAGGAAAATCCAAAAGATTCAACTGTGATGCTGAATAGGGGAGGAAAAGCCAAGATTGGCTGTTACGTGGTCCCATTACGGGCGGGAATCAGTGACAGCTGGGCCCTTGTTGTTTCGGGCACCCGAACAAACCGAAGAAGCTGGATTGGCCGAAAGAAATGACTAAAAATGAATCAGCGCTCAAGCCTACCAAACATGGAAGCAGCCGTTCATAAATTAGAATAAGTAAAGCTTGAGAAAAAGCCTACTTTCAAAGATCTTGGGAAGAAGGCTAGAGCCCTTCTACACTGCCATATATTCCAGAATATCAAGGCAGATAATCCACATGATCTGCTTTGAACTGGATTATCTAAGTCAACACTGCCATATAATCCAGTTCAAAGCAGATAATCAGGATTTTATACAGCTGTGTAATATTTATTATTTATTTATTTAAAAGTTTTGTATACCAACCTTCTCACCTCTCTTGAGGGACTCAGACCGGTTTCCAACCATAATATCACATACAATCAATAAAACATCATAATACATATTACAGTAAAACATTAAAACACCAATTACAATCAATGGTTCATAGGGGAGAATACGGTCGGAGAGGTAAACAGGGCCAGAGTTGTTTAGGGCTTTATAGGTTAACACCAGCACTTTGAATTGTGCTCGGAAGCTAATTGGCAGCCAGTGGAGCTGGTGTAACAGCGGAGTGGTGTGCTCCCTGTACCCAGCACCCGTTAGTAGTCTGGCTGCCGAGCGTTGGACTAGCTGCAGCTTCCGGGCAGTCTTCAGAGGCAACCCCACGTAGAGAGCGTTGCAGTAATCTAAACGGGATGTAACCAAAGCGTGGACCACCGTGGCCAAGTCAGACTTCCCAAGGTACGGGCGCAGCTGGCGCACAAGTTTTAATTGTGCAAAAGCTCCCCTGAACACTGCTGAAACCTGGGGTTCCAGGCTCAGCGATGAGTCCAGGGTCACACCCAAGCTGCGAACCTGCGTCTTCAGGGGGAGTGTTACCCCGTCCAACACAGGCTGCAACCCTGTACCCTGTTTAGCCTTGCAGCTGACCAGGAGTACCTCTGTTTTGTCTGGATTCAACTTCAATTTGTTTGCCCCCATCCAGACTGTCACAGCTGCCAAGCACCGGTTCAGGACCTGAACAGCCTCCTTAGTAGCAGGTGGAAAGGAGTGAGAGTTGGACATCATCTGCGTACAGATGACACCGTACCCGAAACTCCGGATGATCTCTCCCAACGGCTTCATGTATATGTTAAACAACATAGGGGACAGTACTGAACCCTGTGGGACTCCACAGTACAATGGCCGAGGAGTCGAGCAGGAGTCCCCTAGTGACACCTTCTGGGAGCGACCCTCGAGAAAGGACCGGAGCCACTGCAAGGCAGTACCCCCAAGACCCATTCCCGCGAGGCGTCCCAGAAGGATACCGTGGTCGACGGTATCGAAGGCCGAAGAGAGGTCCAGCAGAACCAACAGGGACACACTCCCCCTGTCCAGTTCCCGGCGAAGATCATCCACTAAGGCGACCAAGGCTGTCTCAGTACCATGTCCCGGCCTAAAGCCAGACTGCGCCGGATCTAGATAGTCCGTGTCTACCAGGAACTCCTGGAGTTGCGAGGCCACCACACGTTCCAGGACTTTGCCCAAATAGGGGAGATTGGAAACTGGCCGAAAGTTGACGAATTGAGTGGGGTCTAGTGATGGTTTTTTCAACAGCGGTTTAATAACAGCTTGTTTTAAGCTGGCTGGAATATTGCCTTCCCAAAGGGGCCCTAGTGGTCATTCCTTACTTCCTTCCTTACTTAGACGATCCCTCGTTGGCCGAGTAGGATAGTCTTCCAGGATCAGTATTCTGGTGGGTCTGTAGGTGACTGTGGAGCCCTATTCTTGATCTGCATCTTCTCCCGCAGTGAGGGCATTGGTTTCCAAGTGGAAGGCGGTCTCGGTCGGCGTTGGCTTGGCGCATCTTCCTCTTGGCACGGTTCTCTCTTTTGCCCTCCATTCATGCCTCTTCAAATTCTGCAGCACTGCTGGTCACAGCTGACCTCCAGCTGGAGCGCTCAAGGGCCAGGGCTTCCCAGTTCTAAGTGTCTATGCGAGAGTTTTTAAGGTTGGTTTTGAGGGTCATTCCATGCCATTCTAATCAGGGAAATTTTGAGCTCCACAATTCTTGGAGTCAAAATAATGGCGATGGGTGTTTCAGTTGAGCTTGAAGATCCTGAAGCTTGGAATGCAGAAGGACCAACGAAATAGGGAGAAGACTGAGGCAAAGAAGGTATTGAGAAGCTCTGCCTTTCCTCCTTCAGTCCTTCTCTCTTTTCTTTCTTTCTTTCTTTTTCACTTTTCTTCCTTTCCTCCATCCTCTTTCTTTCTTTTCTTCCTTTCTTCTCTTCCTCCCTCCTTACTCTTTCTTTCTTTCCCAACCCTCTATGGACTTCATATAGACTTCCTATAGGTCCATATACTGACCACTCCTGAGGCCCTTCCTCTGACTCCTGCCAATTTCTCATTGCTGACAGATTTCAAGACGCCTAAGAGTTTAGTGTGGGAACTCAGCGGAGCTGGTGAGATCAGTGCATTCATGTGCGCACTGCCGAGATGCAAGAGAGCTCATTAGAGCAGGTTAATAGAAACCCACAGTGGCAGACAGAGTGGATTTGCAGGCGAGGGGAGAGGCACAGCTTGAAACAGCTCCTCCAACTCAAAGGAACTCCACTCGCAGTTCATGCTGCCAAGAAAAGCCCGGGCTGCGGGCCATCTTTTGGCACTTGGTGGGAGGGAGATGTCTATAATATGGTGATTATTATTATTATCCTTTTGAGAAAGAGCTGTTGAGAGAATGGCTTCTGACACAGCAGTGGGAAGAGGAGTTTTGATGTCCTGCCACTGCTCCCTCCAAACTAGAAAAGGATGCCATGCCTTCTTGAGCTCTTTTCCCTACACAATACCATCCTTTCTCCGGCCAAGAAACCCGATGATAGGGTCAAAATGACTCGAAGGAACGCAGCACTTTACAAACGCAGAGGTGCCAGGTGGTCTTACAAAAAGCTCCTGAAAGAAATCTAAATGCAAAAGAAGGAAGGCGGATAGAGAATTTGGCCATGAATCAAAAGACAAAGTAAAAAAAAACCCTTAAATAGTCTGGTAGAGTCAACAGTTTGCTCCTTGCAAGGTGCTTATTCAGGCAATCTTAATACATGGGCAGTGTGACTATCTCAAGAAGGTCACCCATTGCCGGA